TCCTGAGAATACAAGCTCTAGTTCCTAAAAAGGGGTTGAGCGGATTTTCCTGCCATAACAGAGACGACCACTACACAACCTTCAGCGTTTTGCTTTTCAGTGTCCCAGCTCGAAGCCTAAACTTCATCCCTAAAGTGGCTGACCCGAGAAAACGAATTCTCGGGCCAGAGCCAAATACCGTCCGGGGCCCCCTGACCCCTCTACCCTAAATCCAAGCCCCCATTTCTCAAAACCAGGCCCTCATCCCTACGAAATTCTCTGGCAACAAGTACCCCTGTTTAAGGAACCTGCTGTAACCCTCGCCTAGCCCTTATGGAACCGTCCGGTAACCCCTACGAGTATGAATACCCCTAAGCCCCAAAACCTAATCCCCAAACCCTTAAGCCTCTGGTAACCGGGGGGGCAACCCCAGCAGAAACCCGTGCAAGAACGCCTGCAGTCACCCCAATATTCGCCAAATTGAACTGCAAGCCTTATTATATGATTCGTTTAGTAGCCCTTTTCATAAGCCCGATTACAGTAACACTGGCAGTCAGTGGCCCTTACTGAACCAAGAGGTCCGCCGGGGCCCCAGCTGTGCTCTCTACTGGGAACCGGCCGGAGCTCGAAGCTGCCTTTGACTGTTTATAGGGGCTTATGGGGTTTGTCGAAGTCTTGGGGTCCCAAACATTAAGGAGGAGGTAAGGAGTTTATGGAATGTCTGGAGCCATGCTGCGGGCTTCTACTGGCTTGGCTATGGCGGCTCGGATGACCTTGACGTCCCATGCCAAATCGAACTTGCCAGACACAAGGTGTTGCTCAATAAGGCTTACAAGGTTTACAAGGAAATGAGACCCTAAGCCCCGCACTTCGATGTCGCAACCTTCCTAAGGTCCCTAGGTCCTTCCGCGGAAGCGGTCCGAGGTGCACTTTCGAACGAAGTGTGTGAAAGCCCTTAAACAAGGAACGTGTGCAACCTGATGAAGATCTTTTAAACATTTTAAAGGTAAACCACTGAGGTTTGACAGGATTTCATACAGAAGCCTGAATATCGGGGGCTTAGTGGTTTAGTATGGAATGGGGTTTGGCAGGGCTTTCCGTGTGGGATTTATCCTGCGGGTGATGTGGTTGTGATCACTGCAGCTTATCTTGCTGTTATTGTACCGCTGTTGCTGCGGCTGCTGCTGCTGCTGGTATCGTTGACGTTGTCGTTGCTTTGTGTGGCACTGTCGTTGATATTGTCTCCGACGTCCTCCTCGTCATTGCTGCTCTCACGCTCCAAAGGTGCTGTTTCAGGGTTTCGGCTTTCGGGAAGCCCTTCCAGAAGTTGTTGCCCCAGTCTTTGATCAATTCTGCACACTCAACAGCCTGCTGCATCCCTACACCCTTAATCCCGAAAGCTATACCGAACCCACCCAAATCCCAAAGCCGACAAGCCCAACCTTGAATCCACCCCGCAAAAAAGCTTCATTCCCTAAGAGTAAAGCGGCAACACACAAATCCAAATCCCTGGACCCCCGTGAACCCTCGACATGTCTTGTCTTCAAGCCTGCTTGGCAGACTCCAATTCCGTCAGCATCTCTCGGCACACCTGCCCATATTCAAGGCACCGAAACACCAAGCAAACATCAGGACTGATCATAAACACCTCAAGCTGGTGTATGATAAAGACCCCCATGTGTGCACAACACCAGGTATTAAGGACAGCCCCTCATTGCGAGATCTTTACCGCTATGCGGTCTTCTCGCTCCTGTTGATGACTGCTGACGTCTGTTTGGAGTTTAGAATTGAGGGTTTCGGGATTCGGGTTTAGGCGGGTTAGGGGTTTGGGGCTATGCTTCATGACTCGGAAGCATCATCGGCTTGAGATTTCACCGCTCAGGGCAGTTACCAGAAAGCTTAATTTTAGCTGACACCAAGCCAATCAGACCGATTTGAAGCAGGGTTTAAGTAGGGCTTTGGTGTGTATGTATGTTGGGTTCCTTAGGAATCACGATGGCATTATGGGGATGCTAGCAACGAAGGCCCCAACCCACATGTTCGATGACCCGCCTGCGGGAAATTCCGGTTGGTCCCATATCCGCTGGAACGCAGCTTGCGTGCCAACTTTGTGTGCACCTGGAGGACACATTGAGGCCAAGAGTGAACATGTCACGTAGCACTTGGGATTTCAGTGGTGCGGCAAATACTACGTAATACAAGCAATTACTGATGGCAAGTAACAGCCAGGCGCATCACTAAACAACGAAATAAACTTACATTACGAGCAGGATAATGGCTTCCACCACCACCACCACCACCACCGCCGCCACCGCCACCGCCGCCACCACCGCCACCACCGCCACCGCCACCACCACCACCACCGCCACCACCACGACCACCCCCAGCTCCAGCCCCAGCCCCAGCACCAGCACCGCCCACCCACGTCTCCAGTAGAACTACAACGGCAACCATGACATCGATGACGATGCGAATCCGACTGCCCAGCGAATCAAGCTTGACATGACTAGTGTCGGCCAGACTCGTCCCACCTTCTTGAGGAGCAACTTCGAATCTGTTGCTGAGACGGAGCCTTTCAAAAGCAGATCACAGCCCGAGTTGAGAAAGTGGGAGTCTCGGCTCAAGGATTTAGGTCATCCGGGACATAGAATCAAGGAGTAAACCTGATCAGGGTTGAGCGCATAATGTAGCATCTGAAGATTACGGCGCGACAAGCCTCACAAGGTTACATGGCAGACACTCGTCGACGAGGCCGCAGAACCCAAAAAACACTTCCTTTACGCATGCTCTATACAGTCGAAGCATCCAAGCGAAGTCTTGTTCGCTAAACCCTAGGCCCCCCTAAACTCTGCCAATCCTTAAGGCGAGGCGTTTCTCCATAGAAATCGAGACCATTACACCACGCATATAAAACAAGCCAGGGTTTAGGCTTTACATGCGGTTGACATGTCGGAGATGTCCGTGTCCGCGCACTTGCGCCCATGAATTTTTAAAGAATGTCGGATTAGGAAAATGCCTCTCGCGGCCATCATAGAGATTTTCCGGAACCAAACACTGAACCCTGCAATTAATCCCTGAATCATACTGCAAGCGTTACATGCTGAAGCCTGAACCCCAACCCTGACATGTCCTGTCACATGTCACTGCCTCCAGCCCCGGCAGCTGCCCACTGCAGCATCCTGATGACGGTCCCTATCGCTCAGGATGTAGGAATTTTAGGGATAGGCCAGGGATTTCAAAGGGCTTTTGGGTTTGGCAGCGGCTTTCTAACGGCTTTAACTAGAAGGGAATGTAAGCTCTTGATGTAATCCACAATGCCGCAATGCCTGTTTGCAGCTTAGCGTCTTGGCATCTGCATCGGCGTTTTCTGCAGACGCACTGATCTCACCTGCACAGGCCGGGTCGGGAATGAACTGGCTACGGGTCCAGGACTCGTAAGAACAGGCATAGCTGTCCTCGACTCCTCACCTTCTCGCACTTCAGCCAGAAAGTACAAGCAAACCCTCAGATCCCGGCGCAAGACATCCACGAGATCTTCGGAGACCTCTCCAGGGTATTGCCTCACACAGGATGGAGAGCGCCAAAGTTTAGGGGTTTCGGAGCTTAGAGTCTTCAGTTTTAGGGGTTGGAAGGGCTTTAAGGGGCGTTTTCAGAGGGTCGGGGGGGCGTGGTCTGAGGTGTGTCCAGAGCACGGGAAGGTGATCATCCGCCGCACAGCTGTGATCCCCACAGTAGGGCTTGGGGCTTCAGGGATTATGTGTGAAGTGCTCGAAATAGGCCATGCTCTCCGGGTTCACGCACAGGAACATTGAGACCTGTATGAGGCTTCCTATCTGCAAGCCTTTCTTAGCAGCAGGAGTTTGAGGCCACTGCGCTGTCAGACAGAACGCAAAAGCAACAACAGTCGCAGTAGAAGTCGGCAGTTTGAGTAGTGATGGCCATTAAAACAACAATTGCAACATCGCAGCTTCGGCAACCACGACCAATCTTCATCCAGTCGGTGTAATGTTGAAAGTCATCGTCGTCGTCGCCGACGAAATAGCTACTGAGGCAAACTGATCCATTCCCAAAAGTTCCGACACCGCCGAGCGGAGGACGTGGAGATGGATCTTCAATCCACCCAAGTGCTGGGCCCCTGTACAGGAGCCTCGTTTAAATAGTCATGATGAGGACCGGCTAGTTTCAAAAACCTCGACCCTGAACTCCAAGGGCAGTTTCGATAAACCACTCCAGGCCAATTAGGGGTCCAACTGTAAGAAAAGAAAGTAACCCAAACACGGAAATCGGGTTGATGGTCTCGGTAGTGGAACAACCACAAACCTTCAAATGAATCGTCGCAATTCCTTGCCGGGAGGCGGCCCACCCAAACCATGCACCTCCGAAGCGTCAACGGGGTTGAATCTGGCTTCTTGTGACGGAACTTCAGGGTTTTAAAAGGGTTTCATCGTGATTATTTCTAGAAGGAGCATTTACGCTGAAGTTAATAGAATAAGGATACCATGTTTCTACAGCAAAAGAATAGGATTTCATTTTGGCAAGGTAGCTTAAACTAAGATCCTTTGATTTGCACAACCCCGGAATCTCTGTGACCCTAAACTTCAGAGTCCCAGCTACGAGCCCGGATGACGGCCGCATAGCCAGGGGCATCGATTTTGAAGGAGGTGGTGGACTAAACCCCAAGCCATAGAACCCTCAAGCCTAAAGCATGATCGTACCTTCGTATAGAACCCTTCTAACAGCCCTCATACAATTGCAAATCCTTGAAACAAAAAACTGGGAACCCTTCTGCAGTAGGTAGAGGAGATAGGGTTCGAAGGGGAATGCCGAGACAAGAGGGTCCCTCTTGGCGCGAGTTCCCAAGTAATGTGGGGACCTTCAAGAATTTAGAGCATGATTTAGGGTATGCTATCGTATAAAACTAAGGCACACACACGCACGCGCGCACGCGCGCGCACGCACGCACACACACACACACACCGACTGCAATCGCTTTGCCTTTTCTGAATTGCCGCCTGAAGGTAATGCCGCGCTGTGGGTGCTGCAGACGCAAGGAGCCCCTAAACCATTTCGGCTGGTCGGCTAGTGAGTCGCGTTGCTCGTGCTAACTGCTACCTTTCTAGATAGACACGCAGTCATACCACGGACCATACTGTTTCTGAATGGCACGGTTCAAGGAGACACAGATGTTCCTTTTGCCAAGCGATCTTCCAAGTTGCAGGTGAGTCAGTGAGCCTTGTCTCTTCATGTTGGGAGAGTTGGCTCCTTGCAGGGGTTGCCAGCCCAGAGTTAGGCAGGGCCGCCCTGACACAGATCGATTTCGTACAGGACCAGCGCCCTCCGAAAATGGCATTTCGGCACTTGATGGCGGTGAAGCCGCTTTGCCTTTGAAGCTTTGGGCTTTAAGCCGTCAGTTTTGTACATCTGGACACTTTGCCATGGTCAATGACAGCTGACCAGGCAACAAGACGTGTTGAGTCTTTTTTTCCCAGGTTCTGGAATGGAGCTTACGGGGCGTCGATCGGGTCCACGCTCTTTTATTATGCGACCTGGCAGGACTTGTGTCATGTCGCCAGCTGTCCAGCACATCATATCTGACCCTGGTGTGAAATGCTGTGATGTCAATTGTCACGTCGGTGCACATGCAACTGTGCATGGCCTTATCAGTCGTGATGCACGAGCCAGCACAATCCTGCCGACTTTGGCCAAAGAGGTGACCTATGTGCTGCGGCTTGGTGGATGGGAGCGTATGCAGGCTGGCCGAGTTGCTCACCGTTCTGGTAACGAAGGCTGCTCTCGTGTGGGCCCGGCGGGACCCGGTTGTATGGCGGCAGGTTATCGTGGGAGGTGGTCTTCTGGCCGGCGTCACGGAGGACTGCCTCCAACCCCTCCTCTGAGCCCTCAAAGACCCAGAAACACAAAGTCATGTATGCGAGAGTCGGCCTTCAAGCCCCTTGAAAGACAGCTGTCGAGGTGACCCTCAACTGGATCTACATGCGAGTCTTCAGCGCTGGAGACGTCAGGTTATCGGTCAGGATAGCCGACAGTGTGCTTCTGGACAGCTCTTCCCTAGTGGACGCAGCAACACGTGCAAGGTTAGACATGACCGGCAAAAAAGACCGCAAGCTGCTACGATACGTGGTATTCTCTCGAATCTTGGCACAATGCATTTTGGATGATGCCGCGGCTACACCACCGAAACGGTTCATTCAAGCTTGGCGTGTAGCCACGTAGCAACTCCTCGAACTTGTAAGTTTGAGGATTCTTCAATGCGATCGCAACGTTCGGCATCATTGGATGGGCGGAGCCTTCAATCTTCATGGTTGCCGGGTGGCAGTAGATCGCATTCTTGAGCAACACGACATGGTGTTCTCGCAGGTATTCCTGTGGGCTGTCACGACACGATTTGGCTTGGCCAGCTTCTCGTTCTGGCTTCTTGGCGCGTTGGTGCAGCTTCGTCATAGTTTTTTTGATTGCTGTTTCAATGACAAAGTGGTGAGTTCCCTCACGGCCCAGGCGAGTTTCCGCACAGTGTTGGCTGGTGGATGAGGAGCGATGTGGTGATGACGGTTATGTAAAGCTGCCACATCGAAGCTTGAGACATTCCGAGGGCATTGCGGCATTGCGTTTGCGAGGACTGCATCTTTGGTGAGGTTCCAGGACGGCGGCGCCAAGGCCCGATCTTCGGGAGACAATCCCAACCCCCAAAACGTTTTGCTTTGCGAACTGGACATGGCCTTGGGACGCCAGGTGTGATCTTTGGTGCGCTGGCCATGACGCAAAACTTTGCAGGCACCTGAAGTAAGGAGCTCCCCGAGTCTTGTTGTGGCAAAATCTGTGGATGGTCCCATGCCATAGTCCCTTTGGTGGCAGGTGCCGTCTTCTCCTCTCTGACCTTTCTCGGCCTGGGTCTGGCAGGGCTCCAAACGGTGAATTGCGAGGCCTGCAGACGGAGTTCATGTTCTTGGAAAGCTGAGAAGCAGCGTCACGAGACCAGAGAAAAACAAGCACGACAGTGGTTCAGGGTTTAGGGGTTAAGGGGTCTAGTGCATTGCAGTCCCTGCTCAAAAAAGGGGTCTAGGCCTATGCAGCGGCACGATGTTTGGGAAAAACTCAGCATGGTCGTTTTTGCAAGAGAGCAGCTCGCGCGGCCAGGATCAGTGCAAGCATCTTTCCACCAAGCAGATCGTCGACTCAACCGGTGCTGTAGGTGTTGCTTGGCCGGCAGTCAAAGAGAGTCCCAGCCCCGATTTGCTGTATTCTGGGCCATTGTCACCTAGACATTTGAAGTCGCGGACATGAGGAATGCATCGAAACCTGCTTCCTTGGCGTGATCGCAATGCAGCCCGACAGCCTGCGCTCCTCGGCTCAGCTGTCAAATGGCTGTCCTGTCAACACCTGCTGTTTGTTGAAACTTTCCTTTAGCTTTAGGATGCACATCGCCCGCTAGGCTGGTACGTCCGTGCAGTGTGTCTCGGTCGGAACGGTGATTTTCCTTCTCGAGTGTTTCGCTGGTTCAGAGCTGTGCGGCAGTCGTGCGAGGATCGGATTCTGGGCTCCTTTGTGCGAGCTGTTTGTCGCCTTCCACGCCTGGAAGTTTCCGATAAAGGGGGCCAGGCATCGGATGTCTGTGTTTCTGTCGATGTGGAAGAACCAAAGCTTGGCCGTTGGATGCAGGCTACGGCGGTTGTATGCAGGAATTAGCCAAAGTCGGGGCGAGGCCCGGGTCACGACATCACATCAAGAAACGGACGTGAAGCAGCACGATCGTGGGATGGCATGCACTCACTTTGTAGCAGCCCGGCTATCAGCGTGGTAACGAAGGACAGAGGGCTGGGGCAGCATTTTTTAGAACCGGACATTGGAAAAGGCATGAACTCGCCAACGAGCTGACAAGCAAGTCGTGGAGAAGATGTAAACCATCCTGACATCCAGAGCATGCTACCCATCTGTTTCGGGAAGTGGGATGCAGAGTTCTTTGAAGGATCTCCATAGAGATGTGAATGTTCAGTCGCAATGGCCCCAGAGCCCTAGCGCTTTCCAGTAGAGTCGGTAGAGGTATCACTGATGGCTGCATGACGTGCTCGCGTGCGTGTGTGCTTCAGGATTTGTGTGCATTCTCGGTCGAAGTGTGCGTCTCTCTTGTCTTTGGGCAGGAGATTAACCTGACACTCGAGGATGCAGGGGCACCACACACGGGGAAGTCCAAGATCGTGCTCAGTGTGGAGGTGCGAAGCCTGCCTCGAGCTGCTCATGGGACTGGGGCCCTGAGTCGAAAAGAGGCCACCAAGAGCAACAACTCCAACAAGATGCGGCGCCAGAACACTGATGGAGAAGGTCTTCTGTGGAGGTTCGGGCTCGCAAGCCCAAGAGACCACTCAATATATTGAAGCTATGCCTGGTCTAGGTTAGCACATACCACCGCCCTGGTGGATTCGTGGCCGGGAGCGAAGTCCTTGTCGGTGCTTTTCGACATCAACGAGGCCTAGTGTCACCTAGCAACCGCCATCGTCCTTAACTTGCGCACACTGGCTCGTACCTCGTACCTGTCAGCTCCCTCCGAAACCCTGTAGTCTTCGGGAGTGCCAAAGGCGGCTCCTTTGGACATGCGGCGCAGCTACGGGCTTGGACTATCGGGCACTTGCCATGTAGGGCCTTCCTTGAAGGGTTCGTTGCTCTGGCCCTGCTTGCTTCTGCGAGCTTCGGGAAGTCAGCTGAGGCCACAGGTCCACGGCCCATTCTGCAGGGGAGGCCGCCTTTCCGGGCTCCCGGTATACCCGGGGCTCAGCCCTGCTCTTTCCAGTGTGTCTGCAGGGCGAGACCTCAGTGGACCTCTCCAAGCAGGTGCGGAACCCTGGATATGGGTAGTTCTCTAAAACAGGGTCCCTTTGGGAGGTCCTTTTTATCAGGGTGCCGTACTCTATTGGGGACCCAACAAGGGACCTTAATTTAGAAAACTACCCCATCGTCTTTTTGCCGAAGTATCTCCGAGCACATGTTGGCAAGGTCTCCGACTGGGCTGGCATCATCCCATCTACCCGAATTAGCCTGTAGATGCATGCAGCGGATGCACGAGCTGTAGGGATCACTGAGGAGATCGTATGACATGGTCTTGGGGTCTCTGGATGGCATTAGAAAGGCAGGGTACGAGGTGACCCCATGAACTTGAGATCCCTGCCGGTATAACCCCGAAGGGGAGCCGGACGGAAGGCCACCGAAGCACCCGGTAGGTGGCACTTGACATCATTTTGTCGGTAAAGCCGACCAGACTCCAAGCGCACCAGACGTTTGGGGTTCCCCGATGCCTGCACGCTGGTTCAGAGCTTGAGGTGCAGCATCGAGGAACATGCATAGAGCATTGAAGGCCTGCGGGGCAAGGTAGCTGAAACCACGCCGTCGCTCTTTTTTTCGAGCCCGCATGCCTTCCAGGAGGCTTCTTTTTTTTGCACCAAACGACCCACGGAGTTGGCGGATGCCTGGGTCCTGGGCGTTATGGAAAATTAGTACCCGGGGAGCGCCTGCAACTCAGGGCTGCCGCTGCAATAGGCGATTCTATCCTCGAGACATGTGGGCCACAGAGGTCTCCTCGAAAGCAGGCAATCATTAAGAGAAGGGAGATAGAGAGCAAGTGTGAGAGAGAGAGAGGGTGCGCGCACGCGCTCGAGGGGGGGAGCGGGGGCGGGCAGCCGTCCTTTCCTGGTAGAGAGAGAGAGAGAGAGAGAGAGAGTGAACCCCGGAGCAAAGCAAAGCAAACAGAGAGCAGGGTAAGCCAAGGAACAGCAGACGAATCCAAAGAAGCCGCCGTCGAAGCAGCGGAAGATGAAGAGAATACCAACAACAACACCAAGCAATACAATACGTGGGAACAGAAAGTCGCACAGAATAGTATGCTTATCCTTCTAGCCTGGAAGAAAGGATGACGCGAAACAGGCAGATCGCAAATTCCATCGAGTCCGTTGTGTCGTTGCCGCTGAAGCTCGACGAGCCTTTCTCAGATCGTTGTGTTTGGCAGTGTTTTCGAGTAAAGGCACACGATGTGCCCATGTACAGAGCCATATAGGCGGCTGGGGCAATTTGGAGAGTCCTGGGCCAACTGCGACTTCTGCGAAGTTTTCATGTAAGATTTGAGTATGCAACCGTTGACGCGGCTCATTGAATATCATGCTTGCAGTGCCGGCCGCTTAGGGGCTTAGGGAAGCCATGCAGCAACAGCACATTACCTACACTAGACTCAAATCCAGCGGGAACCAATGGCTGTCGCATGCCGTTACATTTCAGACGATTTTGTTCTTTAGGTTGGAAAAGGGCATTGCAGAGGCACGGCCTTGGACTCTGGAAAAGTGATGCAGGCCATGATGCCGTGCTGATATTGCGAAGTCATCTGTGAGCTGTTGAAGGTGTTGCAGACTTGCACCGCAGATGATCTGTGGCCAAGATGGCAGCATAGAAAGCAGGTTCAATGTGACGAAGTCACGACAGTCGGATCGGTTGCCAGATTGAGCCACATGTGTCCTCTATTGCAGGGTGGACAACCGAGATTCGAATTCAACAGCAGGCGTCTGACTTCAAGTGCACCGCACGGAACAGAGCAGCACGTGCTGGCTGATAGCTGAGATTGCTAGCTAGCACCTTTTTGGACGCGAGCAGTTCGTCGCCGTACTAGTAGACCTAGCCCAAGTAGAGCCAGTGGTAGTAGTTTGGTAGTAGGTCGTCGTCGCAATCGTCGTTGTAGTTGTAGTCGTAGCCGTGTCAGTAGTAGTGATGGTCGTCGTCGTATTCGTAGTCGTATTCGTAGTCGTAGTCGTAGTCGTAGTTGTCGTAGTAGGAGTAATCGTAGTAGTAGTCGTCGTCGTAGTAGTAGCAGCAGCAGCAGCAGTAGTAGTAGTAGTAGTGCTAGTGGTAGTCGTAGTCGCAGTCGTCGTAGTCGTCGTCGTCGTAGTGGTAGTGGTGGTAGTAGTAGTAGTAGTAGCAGCAGCAGCAGCAGCAGTAGCAGCAGTTGCAGTTGCAGTAGCAGCAGCGGCAGCCATAGCAGAGTCAACATCGTATATAGTCTTTTCACGGCACGCAGCAACGCACCAACCAAATAGCGCCAGAATATCCATGATGTGGAGGCGGGCTCCTGATGCACCGCCACGACTATTGGGCACGGCGCCGGTGCTCCAGGCGCGTCATTGCTGCGACAGTAACCCATCCGTTGCTGCTAATGTTAGTCCTTTTTCGTATGATGAGGCCGCTAGGGGACACGGCACTGTGTTTTTTAAGACTGATTGTCTTCTGTATTATATGCCAGCAAGACTTTTGTATGTATGTGGCCGCATTGTGTATGTATGTATGTATGTATGTATGTATGTACGTATGTACGTATGTACATATGCATGCATGCATGCATGCGCACGTGTGTGTGTGTGTGTTGTTTTTTCCAGTGCTTGGCTGCTGAGCTGTTGCTCCTCGTAGGTGGTGACTCTTCCATGTTCTGAAAGTGCCTTTGGCTCCAAGCAACAAGTTCACCAAGATGTCCTCGGCGCCTTGATCTTTCGACAGCTTTAGTGTGGTATGAAAGCTGAGATGGAGGCCGGCAGGTCTCTAGTCATGGTCCTTGTAATGAGCGAACACGCCACCACAAAGCAACATAAGAACACCTTCCGTCTGGTTGCTCCCTCAATGAAGCCTACCCGTACCCTACACCAAACCCCTGCTCGGGAATTCTGAATCCTACGGAACCTCCATGTCCGTCTTCCGGGGATGCTTGCCGGGTGCGTTGCTGGCCGGCCTTGTTCTTGCTGGCACGGGCCAGCATCCGCTCCTCTTGGAGGCCATTGCTCGTGGAGACGCTGTGTCTCGGACTTTGAAAGACTGCATGGGAGAGACCGTTCTCTGGCTCTTTGTACTGTTAGTGGCTGGTTGTGTGGTTTGTGCGAATAGTTTAGCATACTTGTTTGCCGCAGACATAAAACGATGGCATTGAGAACAGGCTTATGCAAACGACAGGCACCATAGCGAGACTTCTCATAGTCACAGCAGGTTGACTGTTGCAACGGTGGCACCAAACAGATCTCATAATCACCCGTGCTTGACTTTCTAGCATTGCTTCTCTTCGTCCTCCTGCAAAATCGCGCGAACCTAGGAAGCTTTGCTGCGCTGCATGAGCGATGCGTACCCGCAGCTGCAAGATGCCTTTGACTGGCCCGGAAGTGCAGAGGTGGGGTGGAGAGTTTCTGCGCGCGGGGACCGGCGACGTAGTGCCCGCGGGGTCGTTTGGTGAAGGTGCAGGTGTCAGTGCTGTCAGCGGCACGAACCGTGATGAGGCATTATTCTAAGAACCTTTAGAACCCTGCATGTAGCAAACCCCTGGCTCAGCTGCGGAACCTGGCTTTCTCGCTGCGCCGCGCAGCAGCTGTACTCACTCCGGCTTTGGCCCCCCGTCTTCAGAGGGCTTTCGCAGTGTCCTTGAAAGATTCTTAGTTGTGAGCTTCTGTCCCCTAGACCCGGCACTTGAGAGGTTCCTTGCCTGGGCCCCCGCATAGCAGCGGCGGCGTCAGCACCAGCCTTGGCAGGCAGGGGTGAATAGGTTCTCCCGGCGCTTCAATCATCTGCCACCCTATCGCCTGGCCTTGCCGCAGGTTTGGAGGAAGCCCTGCAACAAGGCTGTGCAGCCAGTTTTCATCCGGGAAAGCAGTGGCCGAATGCTTCGCTGTTCCGGTTTGCCTTTGCAGGAGATGTAGCGCTGCTCCGGGAAGCACGGCAGCTGACGCAAGTGCTGCAGAGCCACGCTCCTGCACCGGTGGCTCTGCTAAACATCTATAAGCTATCCGGAGGTCACAAGACTTCTTGAATCCAAAGCACCATGCTGTCGGAACAGCTTTAAGTATTTCCTTCGGAGGCATCAGAGCCCCCTCCAGAGCAACGGCTGAGGTGTTGAAGCTCGTGACCTCCGTTGCGCAGCGCACGGAGCTCCAAGTGCAGCGTGCTAGTTCTTTTTTCGGGAACTTCCGATTCTTGCTTCAGGTCCAAAGATAGTGGCACCGAACAAGCATTCATGGCAACTTTTCATTTGAGATCGAGTCTGTGTGACTTCTCGCTCAGCATGTTCAATGGTCCTTCGCCGACAAACGGTTGATTCGGTGCTCTTTTGCTTGTTGCAGAGGCTGTTGAAACACAGGATGTGATGCCAGCTTCACGCAGGGCTTGGGTCATAAGTCTCGATGTTAGGCGAGGCACGGCGAGGCTCTGCACGGGCAATTTGCTTGCAAGAGCTTCCATTTGCGCTGCGCAGCTCCGATTTTGAGCTTCCAGCCATACGGAGAGGAGCTCGAGGGGAGCATGTCTCCTGACTGTCGAATGCTGCGTGCAGCCTTTGAGCGAGGCAGGCACAACTTTTCCAAGCGTAGCGGCGTAGCGGAGCATTGCAGAAGTCGGTGCCCCGAAGCGTAAAGGCCAGTGCAACGAGATCGCGAACGTGGGTTTGGCATGTATTGGAAGCTTGGCGGAGGCAAGGCAGTGGATTGCATGAGGAAGGAGCAGTTGGAGATAGGTTGATATTCAGTGATGTAATGATCCACTAGTTCCTTCTTTTCAACATTGTCGCATCTTCCCAGGCCGCTCAGCGTTTGGAGACTGTCGGTACTTGGACTCTCGGAGGCAGAATCTCAGGAAGCACCTTGTCCACCCTTGGATCTGTAAGCCTTTTTGCCAAGCAGGCCCCCAGCAGATTGCACGCAAGCTTCGCTGGCAGTGGCGGTCTGACTTCGGAGAGACGCGCGAAGAAGGCTTGGTTGAATTGCTCCGGGAGCAGCAGAAAATGCTGGGCGATGACCGAGCGCTGAGTATGGCGGAGATCGGCGTGTGGTACGGGAATGTGTCAGTTCACCTCCTCTCTGAGTTCCCAACCCTCCACATGCTCCTGGTCGACCCTTACCATCTGCGTTCAGAAGGCCTGGTGAAACAAGAAGTTGCTTGCACTTCCATCACAAAGAGTTAGACAGGTGTCGCAGAAGATCAGCCACAAGGCCTTCCGGTTGGGGTTACATGTGAGCAGCTTGTACAGGACTACAGGACTTGGATGGGCGTTAAGCACTTGTCTTAGAAGGGTTTACTGTTGGGGCTCTTGCTATTGATTTGCCTCGGTTTCACTTCGTCCGACTCAAGACCACCTGCCTCGGATTGTCCGAGTGTGAGCGCCGAAACCGAGTCTGGAGAGTCCAAACCCTTAACCCTGCGGTGCGCCTTGGTCAGCTGGGCCGGTGGGAAAATCCCTAAAGCCTGGGTTCTTGTCAGGGGGTTTCAAACAAGCCAGCACAATTTAAGAAAACCTATTGGAAAACCTATTAATTACTATAGATCCCCATTCTGGTAGCGTAGATAAACTCCCTTTACAAGAGCCCCAAAGCCTCAACAGCCTTTTCACTTTTCAGGTTTCGGCGAGGCCTTGGACATTGGGACCCGGCGCACGCAGCCCTTTCG